AGCGCTGTTTTTCCGGAAAAATTGATGGGAAACTGTTAGAAGTCCGAGTTTCCTAAAGACGTTATTACTATATCGCATCTGACTTTGGCACAGTCCGCGAAGTCCCAATTTGTCATAGGCTACGCTAAAGGTACAAAGGTCGTTTGAAGTACAAAAGAGTTTATTAAGTTTTCAGTTGACTTTAAAGGAAAAGTTGTTCTCTTAAGTTTAAAGGTACGGAGACATTGTTTTTGTGAATGAAAATAACTGAATATTTAACAGAGGAGCTGAAATTAGATGATAAAGAACTATTTTATTATTCGGTACAAATTAATTTTTGCTGTACCTTGCTACTTCCAAGGCGTTGAACGCTATACTGGGTGTTTTTCAAACGTATAGCTCATCCCTATAACTTTTTTATTTTATCTGATAAAAAAACGAGATTTGGTATGTTCGGAATAAGACATAAATCGGGACTGATTGACGTATTCAATTACTTTCGATCATTTTCTGTTTCACCGGAAATGACTACAAATTTTTATTTTAAATGGTTCCCTCTGTAATTTTTTTACTTCATGTGATGAAAAATTATGAACTTTTGACATTATCAATAAAAAAAATTGGTCAAGTGCGAGTCGGACTCGCGCACGAAGGGTTCCGTGTCATTCATTATCTATACAACATTAGACATTATATATTATTATAAACTTTTTAGCTGAAATTTTGAATGCGCGTATAAGTAATTTAAAAAAAAATGAAGAAACATATTACTAAAAATTCTATTAAGCAATAATAAATATATAAAAAGTAAAAATAAATATGTAAAAATAAAAAAAAAACGATTAAAAAAATCGCATTGACTGGGATTCGAACCTGCCTTACTACGGCTCCAACGTCATAGCAGCGTAAAGTCCTAACGCTTTAACCACGCGGCCACCGAGGACTTGAAAGATTCTATGTAAAATTCTTACTTAAAAAATAATGTTTAGTGAAAGTAGACTTTTTTATTTATAAACATTTATTTAATTCTGTTTTTAGTATTTGTTCTTATAGCGGCAACATAGATAAATTATCTGTGAAAATTTCAACTGTCTAGCTATAACAGTTCATAAGATAGAGCTTTGTGACAGACGGACGGACGGGCGGACAGCGAAGTCTTAGTGATAGGGTTCCCGTTTTTTACCCTTTGGTTACGGAACTCTAAAAATAGCATTTTAAGTTTCAATCTAAGAGGCCATGATTGTATTCAGTTAGTTAAAACCATTAATTTTTAATCAAGGAGCTTTGAAAAATAGTGTCAAGGTGCATGTGGTGCTAAACGGTATTACTGGTTCCCTACATTGTCGCAACGTACCCTCGTGTCAAGAAACATGGCGCATTCACCAGAAAGTGAAAAAAATTATTACAGAATTCTATAGAAGGTTTGAGAAACCGTCAGTAGGGGTATATAAAGACCTACGCTTGGCGGTTGGACAGTTTTGAAGTTTGATATTAATAATAATAATAATCATCTTTATTTCACATTGTGTATGAATTTACAGAGAATCTGAAAATATATCACAAAGGAAATGGTGTCACAGAAAATGAAGGTCTTAAAAATGTATTTTTTTTCTATAAATAAACTATTTTATCATACCCACACACATGCCTATGTCCCCTCCAGAAAGTCTCTAACCGAGTATGGTTCCATACCAATGATGAGTGCCTTAAGGTTTTGTTTGAATCTTCTAATATTTGATATTTCTTTTATATTATTTAGTAGTTTATTGTATAATCTGAGACACATATAATATGGATTCCTCTCAGTCAGAGTCAATCTGTGTACTGGGTACATTTAGGGTTCTGGAGTTATACCCATGAGATATCTGTAAATCAAATGAATCCCTATTTTTAAAAAAGAAAATCAGAGCTTCATAAATATAAACCCCATGCACCGCCATCAAACCCTCACTCTTGAAAAGTCCTCGGCAACTATCTCTATACTTCATATTTTTCATTGTCCTCAGCAGTCGCTTTTGAACAACAAATATCTTCTGTATGTCTCTATTTCCACCCCAAAAAATTATTCCATACCTCAACACCGATAAGAAATTTGCATAATATAATATCTTAATAGTATTATAGTCCACATATCTTTTAACAACTCTTATCCCGTAACATATAGCATTTAGTCGTTTTAACAGAGAGCTTATGTGGTCTGACCAATCCATAAACTCATCAATTTTTACACCTAAAAATTTAACACTCTACAATATTTATACATTTCTTATTACATTCTACAGTAGCTGGTTTAATCAAATTAGACTGCTTTGTTCGAAACATAATGGCATTTGATTTTTCATTGTTTATAACTAATTTGTTCTTTTTAAACCAGCTATCTGTTTCATTGAATATTATGTTGGCTTTATTTAATACAACGGTAACATCTTTTCCACCAACAAGCAAGTTTGTATCATCCGCGTAGCACACAACATTTCCTTTATTCATGTCCATCACTGAATATATGTCATTTAGATATATTATAAATAAAATTGGCCCTATTATACTGCCTTGAGCAATTCCATGTACACTTTCCCTTTCATCTGACAAATATGAATATCCATCTTGTGATATTTTTACTATTTGTTTTCTATTCAGTAAATAGGACCTGAACAAAGCTAGTGCCTGCCCTCTTACACCATATAAGTCTAATTTGTTAAGCAGAAGATCCCGGTCAATGCAATCATAGGCCTTCGACAAGTCCAAAAAGATTCTGAGTGACAGTCCATCATTTTCAATATGTCTTAGAATTACTTTGGTAAATTGAAATAAAGCAGTTTCAGTGGTCTTGCCAAAGGTATACCCATGCTGATGCTCCCTAAATAAATCGCATTCATTAATATGATAATACCGCGTCTTAAATTGTGAATTAATTGACGAAGGTGCCAGAGTTAGAGTAATAGTAGTTGCATAAATTGTGTTGTAAATAGTATAATATGTGTGTACAGAGTGAGAAAAATAAATTCGTTAAGTATTTTATCGTGAGTTTAAATTAGTGGAGCCACGGAATCCGTAACAATAGATTTGATCGTCTAATGTTTTTCGTGTCTTGTCGTGGCCGGTTAAAAGATGCCCAAATCGTATTTTGGGCATAATTCCATTTTTTTTCAAATAGAATGGGGGTGGCTCATTAGCATATTTGGAAAAAAGCATTTTTTTAAAAATGAGTAAAAATAATTTGACACTACATTCTTGGCCTTTTGTGATTCAAATTGTCGTTACATTTATGGCCATGGCACTCCAGACTGAAATTTGAAATCCTATTTTTGAAGTGAAATTTCTTTACGCACGCAATGAGAGTAAAAATTCAAAGCCGTGACACACCATGGCCTTGACACAACATGATCTTGACACACGAGAAAAAACATGATAAGGATCGCACAAACATCAAAAAACATTCGATTTAAAGCTAAGAAAAACATTATAACAAACTTGATACTGTACCTGGGTACCAATATCCTCTGGTTGTGTACTAGAAAGTAAATTTTGACGCAAATTTTCATCGATAGGTTTGTGGCTTCTGAATAACGGTCTAGGTAAAGCATTTAACTCATTTGCTAGCTCAGAATTAGAATTATTAGAGCTAAGCAACTCTCATTTTCATTGGAGGACATATAAAAATTACTGTAAACCAGTTTATAGTATATAAATACGAATTGTTGGTTAGATTACAAATCTTTTCTCTTCTTGAATAAATTTAAGCGTTAACATTATTAGGTATTTGCATAAAAATGTGATTTTGGGTGGTATTCCACAAAATTTGCAGCCTATTGAGGAAACAGAAAATGTACAGATTACAGAAATAAATTGAAGATAAAATTTAAATTAAAACAGCATTATATTATGTCATTTTTTCAAACAGGTTAGTAAGAAGTTTCACTTCAAATATGCATACATAGTGCACACATAATTTTCTTAGACAGAAAAGCACCATCTACATTTTGAAGTTAGATATACAGAGAAGACCAGGCTACTAGTAACATAGCAAGTTGCAGGACGAATTTACGGTTACCCGATTTGCGTTTGTACTCGAGATTCACTGCCGGCTAGTCGGCTGGTCAGGCAGTACGCAGGTGCAATTGTGCTTGGACGGGTCGGTCATGACAGACTAGGAATACCGAGTATTTATTATTTTCATTTTAAGTGTTTACCTTCACTTAAGATAACATTTAAAATAAAAATACTTAAATATTTAATATTTGAGTGTGTTTATAAGCCAAAACTAAAAATAAATAAATTCTCTAAACCCAAAAAAAAACTAAAATATTATCCTAAAGAAAAAAAGTTATAATAAGTGTTCAAAAAGACCACCTTCTTGAGCTAGACAGAAGCCTAGGCGGTCGTAAAATCCCCGTCTGACATTGGCTAACATATTAGGATTAATAGTTTGGAAACCCTCTCGTATTTTTACTTGAAGCTCATCTATATACAATACGGGCATTGTGGGCAGGGCGACCACCTCATCAATTTGATTACTTGAAAACGTGGGATTTTGATCCGCGGAAGCACAAATGAACACTTGCTTTAACTCCTGTTCTTCATTAATCAACACATCAGGCTTTTTGTGTTTTTGTGGGGACACGCACCCATATGTTTCAAAATTATTAATAACTCTTGATTTGGTAAAGATGGAATTGGCCTGTTTACAAAAATTTGTGGAAAATTTGTTTGTATATCCCGATAAGACCTATTTTGGAAATACCATTTTACAATTTAAATTTTTTCACGAATTTCGTAAACATCCATTATTTTACTTAAAAAATAAATTTCACACGAGAACTGTCGCGAAAATCTATGTATTCGTTTTGGCTATTAAAACACGAAAAATACAAATTCTGAAACATTCTTATCACATATCTACCTATTTTTATTTTATCGCAATTTTTCGCCTGCTTTTTATCCGGCGGACGGGTATACGCTAATTCGTCCGGTTCTGCCTATGTTACTACTACGGTGGTCTGGTCTGTATAAAAAATACTAACCTGTTGATGGGTCTTTGAGATCAGTTATAGCTTCTACCATGTCCAGAGCCATATCGCATACCCTTTCGGCGTGATTGCCCTCCTTCGATGGGGCACCACTGACCACCATATATGCGTCACCTATTGTTTCTACCTATTAAAGAGACAAAAAATGATTTGCATTTTCTTATTGATTGATCGAAGTATTTTAATAAGTGAGTATTGTAAACGTTTGATATAAAAAATACCAAATTTTTAATTTGTTTCCAGGTCCATTTTTTAAATGGAACACTTGTATTTTTGTATATTATATTAATTATTTATTTAATACCTTATAGTATACCAAAATATTAAATCAAGATATACCTTATTTCGTACTTTTTTGAAACTTTAGTTTCGAAGATATAAATTTAATCGGACTTTTTAAAAAAAATTTTTTTTTCAGAAACTATTTGAGACAGAGTTTACCAAAAATGTTTTTTATACCTACTACTTATTATTATAGAATTCTCAGAGAGTTAGAGCAACCATATCAGAATTCCCATAATTACTCTAATTAAGATTGTTATATACATATGTCTATATAACCAGAACAACTAACCCTCTTAGGAACATTCAACCTCCAAAGTGCCTGTGATTAAATTATAGGCTTGTTCTAAATGTGTATATTCACATGTAAATGCTAATAGGCAGATTATTGACATATCTTTCCCAACATTCCCACATTTTAATGGGGGGGGGGGAGAAATCCTAATAAATACCTAACATAATTAATGTACCCCTACGTAACCCTTATTAAAAAATTACACAATACTTTTAATGATACAATTTTAGTTACCTCCTACCCACTCGAAGAGTACAGATTCTGAAACGCTGAAGGGACATAAATTATAATCCTATACTTTATTTGCAATATCCCGTGGGGTATATCCAATTTCCGACGATGTTAATACAATCAAGAAGCCAACTTCAGTAATTTGGTCGTTATCCGATACATCTGATTCAACGAAAACTTAATTTCCTTGTTCAAAAGCGGGCATATGCATGATATGTTAACTATCCTTTCATGTTGTTTAACGAAACACTATGCAGTAAATTTCTTCATTATCTCTCGTATCTTTATTAAACGTACCGTACCTTAAAAAACGACATCTGTGTGTACTTTAAAATGACAATCGACGATAGGTAATTTCTGCGGGGTCTATAAATCATATGTTTTTTATTTTGGTTTATTCTGCGTTAATTTTTTGCTTATATCTCGGAAAATACAGGGTGAGTTTCTTTTGATGTCCTCTATGGGTATCTCGGAAACAACTGGAGATAGAGAGTCGGTTAAATGGGAAAAGAATTGCAGTTTTGTGGGATCATAAACATGCGCCTTTCAGATTTTTAAAAAAGTTCATGGCTTACTAGATATTTCAAAAAAAGCAAATATCGGATATTTTAAAAATTGTCCCTAAATCCATTATAACCTATTTTAGACAAAAAGTTTTCAGATAAAAGTTGTAGATAATCACATACCTAATGAGTGTGTTCTCCGATTTTTTCTAAAGCCTGTAACTTTTGACATATGACACAAACATATGTTTTTTTTAAATGGAAACCATAGTTGGCCATGACTTCATAAAAAGCGCCATTTTTTAAGTTTTTCTGCGATATAAGCTATAATATGTTTTTTTTTCGAAAAATTACCGAGTTATAGCCAATTCTTATCTTTCTTGACTAATATTTCGCTTAGCTGGTATGGTATTCTTATTCTGTTATGATTTATAACTTATAAAAAGACAGAATATTTTATTAAACGGTTCTTTACAATTTACATAACACAAACTAAAACTTAATAAACTTCTCCCGTACCGCCTCTTGGAGTGCCTCTCTTCTCAGTTCATAAGTTTTTTTGTAAACCTTGTGGTTAACCATACCGCATAAAAAAATCTAAAATGGATAGGTCAGGTGATCGAGGAGACCCATGCAATTGGTCCACCTCTTTCTATCCCTGAGTTTGCATAATTATGATATAAATAACTTTTAACATTTCTTTCATTATGAGGGGGGGATTTCATCATAATGAAAGTCATGTTGGAACCACTCTATTGATGCGCGAGTCTCTAAATTTAACTTTTCTAAAAAACGTAAGTGACGTTCACAGGTCAACGTATCCTCGAAAATGTATGGCCAAGAAAAGTTGAACCAACAATCCTACACGCTTTTCTTCATTTGAAAAATTCATATTTACAATGTTTGTTTATTTTAATTTATAAAGTTTGGATGTGACAGTTTCACATTACTGAGAGACGCGTGAACTTTTTTCCATGGCTAGCTAAGTGAAATTGTTTAAAAATGGTAAGAATTGGTTATAACTCAGTAATTTTTCGAAAGAAACATATTATAGCTTATATCACTGAAAAGCTTAAAAAATAGCGCTTTTTATGAAGTCATGGCCAGCTATGGTTTCCATTTAAAAAAACATATGTTTGTGTCATATGTCAAAAATGACAGGCTTTACAAAAAAAAACGATGGACGTAATCTCGTTACCTAAGGATGTGATTATCTACAAGTTTTATCTGAAAACTTTTTGTCTAAAATAGATTATAATGGAATTAGGGACAATTTTTGAAATTGCCAAAATTTGTTTTTTTTTAAATATCTAGTAAGCCATGAACCTTTTCAAAAATCTGAAAGGCGCATGTTTATGACCCCACAAAACTTCAATTCTTTCCCCATTTAACCGACTCTCTATCTCCAGTAGTTTCCGAGATACCCATAGAGAACATCCTAGCAAACTCACCCTGTATATGTATGACATCTACCGAAAAACGCTCTATAAGTTATCGCTCGTTAAGTATTAAGTGTAACTTTTAGTATATACTGTGATTTTTTAAATTTTAGATGTAATACGTTCACATAAATCACTTCTTGACTGCGCAAATTATTTGCTAACATGAATAATGTTTTCTGTTCATTTATTTTGCTTTATATTTTTGTGTAATTAAAAGAATCAAAACCGATATTATGTACGTAATATATTAGAGAAACAAAATAAATAATAATACATTTATAAAATAATAGTGAATTATTATGTTTTTGAATCAATTTTTGTGTCGGAAATTCATAAAATGCTTCAATTCAAAAAACTTATGAAAATTAAAGCACCTTGTTTTTAATAACACAGATTTTTTGTAATTTAAATTTCATAATATACGATATTATACAAAATTAAAAAAGAATTTGAAAGACCTACTAAATTAAAAAGTAAGCGATACATGTATTGTTATAAATAGTAAATTAAAATCACTTTTTTATTGAACACAAATTACTTGTCTAAAACGGATAATGTGGAATAATATAGATAATTTTAAAATATGGGGACTCATAGACTATAATAGACTGGATAGGACAGATACGTAAATTTTACATTTACGTTAACTGTACCTACAGAAGAAATTATTTAGAATATCATCGCAATATACAACCTCAGGGAACCAGACCTCAAATGCTAATGCCTCAAATGCTTCGTGCTACTTTAACTTTAGAAAAATCTACTGCAGGCGTGGATAGAAATCTTCAACTCTGAGCAATCATGGACCATGAGTCTTGTTTTTCGTATACTTTCTACAATATTTGCAGCTGCGCTAAATGCTGTGGTATACTTCTTTTACCGTAAAGCAGGCATGCATTAATCTTTAACTTGCAGTTATTGTTAAGTCCTGTCTCCAACGGAAGACAAACAGTTACGATGCAATAAAGACTTGAAAGATAACATGTAAGGACCCCTTAATATTACCATTTTTAATATAAAAGGTTAAATTTAGACTTTAATTTTGATTTTTAAATGCGACAATACAGTATGAGAAATTTTGTAGAGAATTTTCTGAACTTCAATTTTCTCTATAGGGTATTTTTTCGTAGGTGTCATATATTCCGAGATAAAAGCTAAAAAGTCATAAAAGTGACATTTAACCCCTCCCCTGTCCTCGACCTCATCGTGCATCTTCGGGGACTTTTGACACATATCAGCCCAAGTCTAGAGAAATCATTTAAAACCATTTTCTCTAATTCTCTGATTTGACTGGGCCATAATTTCAATAAATGGTATACTCACTTTATAGACTCGATTCCTTTCTGTCAATTTATCGAAAATCGAATACATCCCATTGAGCATGGAGACCACTTCCATCGGAGTGATTCTGCTGCAAATTTCGGTAAAGGTTACAACATCGCTGAACAAAATTGAAACGCTATCAAACATCTGAAAACAAATAAAAAAAACGTGTTTAATAGATTATACAAAAGATCAGTGTACATATTTAAATAAGTATCGATAAAAAATACAACAGAACATATACTCACAAATTATGAAAAAAATGTATTCATGGTTCTATTAATAAACCAGCAAATATTAACGTATATTTATTTGATTATGATTTGATTTAATGTTTTAGAACAACTATATCGAAATAAAAAAAATTGTATTCTTAGTAAACTACTGATGTAATTCTCTTTTATATCCGGTTCTTTAAGAACCACACTGTATTTTTCTTTTTAATGAAACAACTTCTAATGAATTTACAGTCTTAGTCTTATTTCTTTGTTGACCTAATTCCAAAGTTGGTTTAAGATTCGTTTTCTTGGTTATTTTCTGTATTATTTGTTTATTTGTTTTAAAAGTACTTTATTTGGGGTATTAGAATTTAAAAGTATCACATATGATTTCAGTTTAAGCACTAACATTAAAAAGTACAAATCTAAATAAATGAAACAAAATAATTAATTATTATATTTTCGTATTGTAACGGAATTTAAAAATTATGTCTTTATTTTTGAGAAAATTTAGTCCAAACATAAGGAATATTTTGTTGATGTTTGACCTTAAAAATCTTAAAAATAAAGAAGTTATCTAAAAATGTACTACAATACGGATATAGTATAATCATTTATCTTTAATTTCTTTCTTCGTTTGTGTAAAAATACCTAGCCAGTTTTACATAAAACGTTAAATGCCGAACGCTTATTTTGCTACTTTTTCAGACTAGTGAAATGGACTCTTAAGGATTCTTCTACTAGGGCTTGACATCGCCAAAATTATCATAGATTGTCATTCCCAGCCCTCTTTGACGCCCTTTTTTTCGACCTAAATTTTTTGTCTAATAATTAGTAATTTTTCGATCGACCTATATTTTTTCTAAAATGTTACCTACTCTCTACAAAGTACCTATTTTAAGCGTAGTTTACACGGGATAGAAAATTGTGATAGAACTTGCTAGAGTAACTTGCGATAGTGTTTACATTTAAGCAAATTTTAAAGCAATTTCTTGCAACAAGTACTTTCTAGACATATGCTTTGAGCAAGAAATTGCATGCACGTATACACGGTATGGTGTATATTGCACAAGTATATTGTTTAGTAGAAAAATGTCGCGCCGTAACAAGAGAACTGCAGCCACTGTTCTTCTTGTTGCAATTTTACGCAAACAGTCAAGAAAATCTAGAAAAAGAATATGGGTTAAAGAATGGATTGCCAGAAGGCCTAGTCTTGGAGCTTACGCGATGTTATTAAAAAAAATAAGAAATGAAGACTCAAAGCGTTTAAACAATTTTCTGCGAATGTCAGAAGTCGATTTTACTTTTTCTTTTTATAATTTTATTCCACTCCTGGTTTGCTTGGGTACGAATATTTGTAGATTCCGCTGAATCTCAGCCTCAGTTGTGTTGAATTTGTCAGCTATATTTGATTGCTTTTTGCTTTTTAGCTCTATCTCTGTAAATTTTCGATTTTTTTGCCACAATTCCGGAAATCCTTCAAATAAATTAATCAAAGTGATGGTATCTTCTTTCGACCACATACTCCATTTTAATATTGTTATTTAACACGCCTTCGAAAATCACTTGCACCAAAAACTTTCAACAAGACGGAAATAAATTTTAACTTGCTAGAGCACTCTCCCAACCTGTTTACACTTGCAAGCGTCTTTCGTTGCAACCACTTGCCCGCCAGTTTTGTGACTTGCTGGGAGAGTGCTTTCGGATACTGTTTACATTATGCAAGTTTGGTAGAAGTGCTCTCAGACATAGACTTGCGATAATTTACTTGCCCGTGTAAACTACGCTTTAGTTTTTTCATTGCTATTTTTATTTTTTTAGGTTAATAAATTTAAGACTCAATTAACCCATATATTTCAACAAATTTGTAATATTCATTTTAACACAGTCTTTTTTTTTCTGGGCCATTTATAAAGGATTTAGGGCTTTATGCGGCTGCTAAAACGGAGTGATTCTATTTAATGACGTTTTAAGTAGGGTTTATAGGCTGCTGTATTTTTGCCAGGCTTTTAGTCAGATTCCCAGTTATTTTTCACATCGTCCCACACAAAATTCTAGAAATTTAACGATAAAAAATAATTTTTGTTTGAAAATACATATTTAGAATTTCTTGTAAATAAAACAGACGAGACAGGAAAATATTTTTGAATATAGGAATTATTTTTAAAAAGCGCCAGCTGATAAAACAGAATGAAATGGTATTTTTAAACGCAAGAAATTATTATTCAGTCGCGAAATAAGGATCGTAATATTTAATTTCGACGTTTAAATGTCAACGGTTGGCATTTTAAATGGGAGTTAGAAAATTCTTTTTTGTGAAAGCGTTTCGAAATTGACAGTTTTTAATATTTATTTGAGATTCGAAATGACATTCTTTTAGGCACTAGTATCTAAAAGTGACACTTGTTTAGGCACTAGTGCCCAGGGGCGGGAAAGTGAAATAGCAAAAGGGGTTCCACCGTTTCCACGGAAATTTCAAATAAAATAGTTCCAGCCTCAGGCACTAGGTGGTAGTGCAATTAATTTTTAGGTTAAGAAGTTGCTACTAGTTATTGCCAGATGGCGTTAAAACAGAATTTTTTGTAGTTTTCATAGTTTCCAACGGCCATTGTCATACTATTGTCAAATTCTCAAAAAATATTGTCGTTGTCATAGCGCCAATCATAATATTATCAAATGATTATCAAACCGTTTTTCAAACTATTATCAGCTATAATTTGTTATATGTATTTTAATTAGACAATTCCTTTTGTTTGTGGCCCTAAAAATATAATGTAAGTGTTTTATTTTTGCCATCATTTAAGTACCTATTTATATTTACTCCATTTACAAAACTTTGGGCGTATTACGTTAGTCTCGTTTTATTATAATAAACGATTACATATGTTTGGCTTTAATTTTATTTAATAATTGTATAAATTATACTGTTAAATTATACTGTTAAATAAACAATCTAGAGCCTGATATCTATAGAATATAACATTTGGGTATTTTCATACAAAATAATTCAATAGATAACAATTTGAGGACGGCCGCCTACGGACCGGTAGACACTCCGTAGAGAAAGTGTTGCCAATATAAGATATCTGAAATTGAGATGGTTATATATGAAAAGTGGATACAACAGACAGAGACAAAAACTCGGAATTTCAAATAGTTAGATTAAAAAGTGAGGTTATTGTTCAGTTGTCAAAAGATCGACAAAATGAAAATAAAAAAAAGAAAATTCAACTAAAATGTATTTTGTGTTCAACTCCAACTAGTCCTATTATGGTATAGGCTATTTAAATTGACCTTTATGGAAAAAGGGAAAGATAATTCAATTTCAGCAGTGGTGGTGGTGCAGTAGATCTATTGATAGAATGCGATTTATAAGAAATTAAAACAAGAAAAAATAATCTGTAAGTAATTTATAGTTTAATTACACGCTATTACTGTTATATTTATTATATTAACATTTTAGTACAATTGATAATAGAAAATATGGAAGAAGCTGGTGAAGTGCAAGCAGAGATTTATAAATCAATCCTAAAACCACCATCTGGTAAGTTACTAATATTGAAAATTAAAAATAGCATAAGACTGTTAGTAATAACAAATATGTTGTTCTAGGGCTTCTCATAGTAAAGAAATAGGTAGGATAGCATCAATGATAGTAATTAAGGTGAGTTTTTATTTTATAAAACAGATAAATGCACTTATACTTTTGTCTTAATAATAATAAATAAATAGTACCTATAATAATTGTTACATTTACACATTATATGTACAAATTATTTAATAAAAAAAATTAAATAAAAACAATTTTGTCATATTACTTTTATTTTTAAGAACTCAAAGTGATGGAACTTCAAAAAAAAAAGAAAAAATAAAGGAAAAATCTTGTCTAAACAAAGTTGAACTAACT